AATTTCCACTGTCGGCAGCCCAGAGCATCTACGCGAAATTACTGGCTTTTGAGAGAGAAGCTTGTGATCAGAACTAGCTGATCTCATATTTTCTTCAGGCGACCTCGACGTTACAAACTAACTTTCAGACCCAAGCCTAATAAGAATTCTATTTTTATGTAGGTTCTATTCTGTTGAAACGAACTGCTACCCATTCAATAGGTGGTGACAAGCTCCCTTAAACACCTACCCTGAGACCAAGCTGTCCTAATTCTATCTTATATTATTTGACCCCTGTACTCTCTTTGAAGCCTCTAAGTTGAATGATTTTGTAGAACTTTGACAGTTTTCATTCTTGACGATGTGTTCATTCAGAGAACAAAGAAAAGAACCGGTTTACTGTCGAATCTTCAAATTTTTCATATTTTATAATCTTTGAGTTATTGTCACTTCACAGTATTTTCGAAGAGAAATAAAAAGGGGTTCCTTAAGCCCATTATCAACGATAAATTATGTCGATTGCCAAATTCGCGAATACTTCTCGAAGGCGATGACTAGTTTCGGAGGTGATTTGAAAGTGTACCAGATAAAATATGAATGTACGAATTTGAACTTTAAAAATGGAATATTTCTATTCGCCGCTTAGAGCTCCTTGTTTTGGAAAACCTTTTAAATTATTGTTATTATTATAGGATTGAAATTAGTAGAGTAGAATAAGTGGAAAACACAACGATCTTTAAATTCTTTTTATGAATACACTATGCAAACCACCATCAATTGGTATCCCCTGAAATCACTGTTTCGGGTATTAAGATTAGCATGGTAACACACCCCGCTCCCCTCCCCGCCCTCCAGCCTCCCCCGACTAATAATTTAACTAATTATCACTTTTACTCTTTACTAATTTCCGGAGTGGTTGGATCAAAAATGAAATTTTTTGAAAGGATGGAAAAACACGCCAATGTGAAAAAAAATCCAAAAACGATTCCAGGCATGAAAATGAGAAATGTAACAAATCGTTAGTTTTTACTTCTGCCTCGAGGTTTGTAGGTGGAAATATTTATTACGGCCGACGTTTCGTTTCATTTCTTAGGGGAGAAGAGCAGTATACATTGTCGAAAGGTACATTATCTTCAGCACAGTCTGGGGTATAATCCCTGCTTGATATCCGCCTAGATTACTCAGGTCTTTCATCCCTCGTTTAATCGGCGCCAGACTCCTCGGGAGCGATAGAAACGCTGAACTGAACATCAGTTCACCTCCGGTACTCATTGTATAGACATTGTGTAGGCGTATATATTTATTCGAAATTTACTACGGATGATTAAGGTCGGGTGAGGGCCTACCCCTAACCAAGTTTCTACCGCCAAAAGACTTCAGGAGTTCAGTCTTCAGGCTCTCGATTGTATACGCCTCAGCAAAAATCAGATCAGTAGATAATAGAAAGAATAAAACACAATCTCCAACTTCTCACTTAATTTAACCTCGGCATCGTTGTTTACGTTATTAGAATTCTTCTGCCGTACGAGGTTTTTAGGTGGAACATTTATTAACTTAAGGCCTAATGTTTCAACGTAGTCGTCGTCTTCAGAGGCCAGGCTCCACAGTCAAAGCGGAAAGATTCCGCTGTCGCCACAAGCGACTGTCAGTAGCGAAAAACCTCGTACGGCAGAAGAATTCTAACAACAAAGTAAAACACAATTTTCGCATTATCAATGTTTTCGTGGGAGAAAAAAAATTCGGCAAAAGTAAAGAATAGTCCCTACCAGATCTTCGATTCGATCAAATCTTCACATTGGAAAGCCTCGATCTAATCGTTATGTGACGGTGTGCCCTTCCTCATCTCATCATTTTAGTCCGATGTCGACTATCCGAGGAAGCATATCTACACCACTTCCGATGAGCCATTCGAAACACCTGGTGAGTTAGACATTCTTTCAATGGGTGATATGACTCGTAGTCGAGGTAATGCCAATTAATATGTAGATCTTGGTACCTCCCTCATCTTCCCCGTTGAGTGTCGTACTTAACAACTTCCTCCTTTACAAACGCGGGTAAAAGCACTTACTGTTGGCTGGTAACCCTTACATTTCTGTTCCTGAGCTGGTATTTGACCCATTTTATCATTAATTTCTGGCTCAGTCGGGACCACACCATCGTTCATTTTATAGGTATCCCATGTTTACCACCAAAAGGATATTTTTGGTTGTAGTTCTATTACGAGTTTGAGTTCTGTTACCATCTTTTTATGATGTCCCTCAGCTCCACCCCTGCCGGTGTAAAGTAATTAGGTAAATAAACAAATAAGTGAACAAACATTGAAAAGCTGCAGATACTTGCTCAGAACTCGAATCCATTCTCATTGGACCAATTCACACAGAACTTTCAAACAACGCTCAATTCTAACCTTTTTTCGAAGACAAAACGGTCAAGATTGCTGTGAATTCACCGATATACTTCAAAAAAGATTGAGGTCAGGGCGAACACTGAAGCCGGAGAAGCTGTCGGAATTAGATTCGATCGCTGCTCTCATCTCCCACACTATCCACCTTGCCCTCGCTTTGGCTTATATGCCCTAGCTTATCGGGCACGCACAGGTGCAACGTGGTAAGCTGGTGAGCTTATATTAGCATCGAACCGTTAACCGTTCAATGCTTATGTCAACTTGAACAAGCGACTTTGGAGTAAGAAGTGACTCCAAGCAGACAACATTTGATCCAACTTGAAGTTGGTCTTTCCTGAACTAACTTTTTCCATGTCCCAAGAAAATGTGAATTGAGCGAGGGGTAACTTCGCGCCACGTCGAACTTTACCCCGGCTTTTCAAGTCGAAGCCTTTGTACCTGAAAATGCTCTTCTTTTTCAATGACGAGTAAGCTGATTCTCGACCTAGTTTAACCAACCCAGGCACATGCCCAACCTAGGCATTTGCATGATTGAAGTTAGAATTTCGAGGTTTGTGAACGTCAGGGTAAAACTATCCGTTGCCACGTTCGGTCTTAATTGTGAAATACTATCCGTTGCCTCACTTTCGTGCCCTACTGTAGACTGGAGTTTAGCAAATTCCTTTTGGAGAACCAGTTTAGATTTTGCATTTCTCTGAAATGAAAACTCAAAATAGGCTGCCCCAGGTTTCATTTCCTTCCTATAGGCGTTGCCTTTGTATACCTTAACTTTCGATTCAATATGATTGAATACCACAATGAAATGTTGATTTTCCAAAACCGGTATGTATGGGAGGAGCATTCTTGCCGATTTTAATCCTATACAAGTTCACGAAAATATTCCCTCAAAAACTGACTATCAGAAATGATCTCATGAACACTTTCAACAAATGATTGCCGAGAAATATGGAAGAAATGATTCAGACAGTCCTCTAAAGTGTTAATGACCACAAAAACCTCTTCAATGATGAACGATTGCAATTGCAAATTGCTCTCATCCGATGTTCTACTTATCAGGACGAAAAACTTTTGGCAAACAATCTCATTTGTTTCATTTGCTAACGGCGCTGTTTAAATTCATTGACGTTTTTATTTCCCCTAATTCATGTTGTAATCTATCGGGCTCTGTACATCGAAGAAAATGTTTGGAAAGAGAAAAATGCGTGAGAATCTGTAGATTGTCTGACTGAGGCTATTAAATTTGTTACAAAAAGGCAATAGGTATAATAATGATGGTAATTATTCACTCTGAAATGAGCCAAATATTTCATTTTCCTTTTTAGTCATCAAGATTCAAGATTCTTATGAGAATATTCTCTGCTCTCAGAGCGCTTTCAAAAGTTGGCCATACTCAAATTTATTCGAGAATGTTACCAGAAAATCGGAAAACGGAGAAACGATTTCAAAACTATATTCGATTTTTCATTTCTTTTTTCAGTTGCACCAGAAATTTCATTCTAATACTCCCTTATGTTGCATATTCATGTTTGTTTGTTTGTTGAGGCGTTAAAATGTATACTGGTTTCTTCGTGGCCTTTTCGGTGGGAATACTGATTGAAGTCAAATTTCACGATAAAGATAATTCGTGTGATATCCGTCTTGGATGATCTGTGTCGTTCACGTATACCATATGTGGAGCTCTCAGATTGGTTAAAGCCTGACGCTAGTTCTTTATCCGGACTCAAAGGTTTTGTCAGCTGCCTGCCACACCCAAACAAGGACGAGTTTTGACAGCGTTGTCGAGGGACACCCATGNCTATGGTGACAAAGGAGGGCGGTTTTGGACGTTTTTAGTTTGATGTAGTCAGCTCTTTGCGCAATAGCAATAATTAAAATCTCGTCTGAATATTCCTTTCACGCGCTTATACGCATAATTTGTGGGTGATTATGCTAAGGGGCACAGACTGATGGGAAACCATCATACACGCTTTTAATCCCTTTGTCCAAAAAAACCTGTAGTGAGGCACTGAATGGCTAAACTGCAGCAAGTCATTGACTACGACCGATACAGCTACCCGCTTTTTGAAGTTGAGCCGTGAGTATGAATATTTTAATGACAAATATATCTGTTTACTTTTTATACTATTCTGTTGGTACTTTCTCCTTACAGTTTACTTTCCCTGATACACTTTGCTTGTTCGCTCCTTTCATATGTTCATTTTGCCTAGCAGTCTCTGTTCCTAAGTCGGCCGTTATTCTTGTGCTCCTTTACCAACCTTGGACTGTCACCTTAGTTCCTCTGAACTAATGTAACATAGCAGAAACTCCATTCCTGCTCCTCCTTACGACTTCTAAAACCAGAAAAAATGGGGTGATTCAGTAAGGGTGCTTAGTGGTTCTAGGGTAACACACGATGAATGTTTGACCATTTAGGGATCCCCCTAAATTGTTGAGACGAAAGGGTGGGGAAATCCTCTGATCCAAGGGATTTCACACTGCCAACGACTAGTAAAAGAAAAGCGCTTCAGTAAAGTTTGTTATTTGAGGAAGCAGAAGACGTAAGCACACATCATGTAACGGATATCGCCTATTTGAACGTGGGCGGTAAACGGTAGGTGCATTTCGCTACAATATCCAGACCCAGGTAATCGTATTCGAATTTTTCGCTTCCAGGTACACGACACACTTCGAGACACTGATCCTCTCAAAGAGCTCATATTTCCATCGATTTGTGCGGCTCGACGACGTTACAGGGAAGGTGCTATTGTATCGACGATATTTCACGGTAGGTTTCACCAGAAGGGTTCTGCTCTTTCCCGAGCAAATGAGTTGTTCATTCCTATCTCTACTGGGCGGAGAAAGTTTCATGGCAAGTGCAGGACTACACCACGAACGGTTCGTGGATCGTCTTCCGGACCAATACTAAGAAAGGCAAACCTACTATCCATCCCTCTGAGTCGACTAGTTTATACCAGACTCATTTGGGAGGATCAGAGCACTGACTTGTACATGGGCCGACCATGGCAAGGCATTGTATAGACCACATGAGCATTCAAATGCCACTACTCTTGAGAATGAAGGTCGAATGAATGGGCGCATCTCAAACAGGACTGACTAAAGTGAGGAGACTTTATCCTTTACACTCCCTACAATTAAGGTTTGTTGTGACAACTGAAGGGCCTCAAACTAAGAGTTTACAAATGTCCCCAACCCACCCTAGCGATGGCGATCCATCAGTCCACATTCCCTACTTTCGAATATTATCTTGAACATCCGGTTCACTGGATGCCAATTTCCCCGCTGTATTTGAGTCATCGACGGGTTGAAAATAGAAACCCACCAGACAGTTTTCTTTGCCATACCCTGGACAATGTCTTTTAACAAAGCTGTCGTGGCGCTCTTGAAAACTCGTCTTCTGTTCTCTCGGCGAGTCGATGGTCGATCTGTGCACTCGACCTTCTCACCTGGGCGCAAATGAAGTTTTTTCATCGGTTTTCATCGGTTGGTACGTGTATTGCACGTTGTTTTCATTGTCGTCAAAGCAGAATACAGTCGATTACAAAGCGCGACAATGACGGAAAGCCTGAAAGTTTTTGATCATTTGTGATAGTACGATGATGAATAGTCGTCTTTGACACCAAGGACTTTTTTCGTCTTCTTTCGTATGTCGATGGGGCTTCTGGCAATGAAATGTGACACGGTACATGAAATGCACGCGCCGTCAAAATGCCACTGTTTCTGCTGGTGACGTTTTTCTTAGACGAAGGTGGTGCAGCGGCAAGTGGCGCTGTTAACAAATACATAGTCAAAAGAACCAATCACGCACCGGACACTCACTTGAGGCAGATTATTCTCCATTTTTTTGCTTTAATAGAACAAAGGAAATATAAAGACAGAAGTTTTGATACACAAGTTTTGATATGTATAACTACATCAAACATTTTTATAAATTATAAACGTCATTGAACCTGTCCTGGATGGGAATCCGCAGCCGACCTCTACCAGAATCGTTATTACGTCTTGAATTACGTATTCGGCCTTCACAATGATTGAATGTACAAGTCAGTGCTTTTATCCTCCCAGAAGAGCTGGTATCACTGATCCTACCCCTCAGGTGTGGGAGGCTCCAGTGGTTTAGGTGTTTATCGGTACAGGATACAATCCCCGTCCTATGCATTTAGTAGTGTGCGCCACTTGCTACTACACCATCTCCACCCATGAATAAAATATACATTTATCTAAAATCGCTGTTTAATCTAAGAACCTCAAAAGTCACTAGTCAAAGTCCGAGAGAATCACGAATCAAAAGCCGATTTCAACCATTCAGTTCTCTGAATGCTTTTATTTTTTGTCTTATGCCAACTCTGCACCTTCGCCTTTGGCGCAGTTTGTGGATGAGGCGCATGTTCAGAATATTTTTGATTGAAATTCCGATTCCGCTTTACATAGATAGATTACCCCTTAATCAAATCAGTGCTCGGACTATCGTGATAAGTTTTTCAAGTCAATCGGAAGGACGGAATTATGGGCCGGCAGAGAATGGTTTCGACCTAAAATTTTACTCCAAAAAAAATTGGATGCTCAGGGAAACTGCCCACAGAATACTCCAATGGCTTTTTGACAGTATTAGTTTTCGGAAAAAAAGGCTGTAAATTTTCCCAGAGGCCAGCGTATTTCAGGTTGACTCGACTGGAGCGATCTTTGTCAACCGTGATGGTGATCTTTTCGCCCATGCGCTACAGTTTATGAGAGATGGAAAACGCACTGCACTGCCTCAAAATACTGAACTTCTTCGACAATTGATTGTACGCGAACTCAACTCCCCTATGGAAACTTAATTCAAGCATATTTCAAACTGCGGACTAACGGTCATTTCATTCCAGCGCGAATCAGAATTTTTCGGTATGGAGGTATGGAAGTCAGTGTTGCAGCAACAACTCGAGGTCTCTGAAAGCCGAGAAAACCAGGTTGGTCAGATTAAATTTTTCATGGCTGAGTAGTGTAACGGAGCTCATTCCCAGAGGGACTTCTCAAACATCAAGGGTTGTTGGTTTACCGGGAGTTTGTATACATTTCATTCCTACTTTGGAAGTCTTGGTATCAAGTAGTATACTATCACATGCAGAGTCCCTGAATCGAATCCCCGAAGGATGACGCGTAGGCCAACCCAGCCTTACACTCTTCCGAAGTAAGCTACTGGATCAAATAAAAGCCCTGACTTGCAAGTCGCCTAGCCACCGCAAACCTTATACGTATGTGGTCATATTTGGATGCGAGAGCCCATATCACCGACGGGATTGATCGCCGTCAGAAGGACCTTTGAGGGTTTGGAAACCCTTGATAAGCTTTCCGAAGCCTTCAGCAAGTAAAGCCACACCATCATGTGCAGAGGCACTGAAATGACGCCCAAGATTGTTGAGCTCTTACAGCCAGTCCTAACACGGCCGGGTCTACCTCCCGATGTCGCATCCCTGTGAACTCCCAGTCCATAGTATGAAGTACTTTCACTTCTGCAATCCATTCTACCACCCACGATGGTCAGCTTTTTTGATGATGTGTACTTTCCTTGCAAAATGACAGCCAATCGCCCAATGAACTTTATTTTGAACCAACATTTCGAAGACACCCACTGACAGGAACACACAAAATTAATGCTGATCACTGATGAAACGGTCACACCAAATTCAGGCTGAATTCTTGATCGCTCTTGAAGATTCATTGACAATCTACCAAAGTTCTCGAATATTTGAGGAATTGGTGCAAGGTTACAAAACACAAAGATTTATGGTTTCATTTCCGGACTCAAGTGGGACGCGAACCTCGATTAATGCTTTCCAGACGAGATTTCTCATTCATCAAACGCTATGTTCCATTGTTCGACGGCATACTGTAATTCCAATGCGATTCAGTGGCAGTCATTGTTGGCGGGGTTAACTGAAAAGTAGACGTACCATACCTTAGAGCGTGAAGTA